GAAGGAGAAATGTAGCTCTTCTTTAAACATTTAAGCAACAGAGCAATTAGTTCTGAATGGGGGTGGGGGGAGGGAAGACTAGAGAGCTTGAAAGGGAGGGGGGGGAGAGGAGATACAACACAACTAGCCCGAAAACAACAGGGGTGGGGATGCATGGGAGGGGGACTTAAAATGTTTGTATTTAAAGGGTGCTTGCAAGGTCTTCGGCACAATATGTGCTGCTCTCCTTAAAGGGGCACCGAGTGCCAATAACCATTAGTCATCCAGTAGGGACTTTTCATTACAGATCTATCTTTAGGGGGAGTTCCCCGAAGTCTCCGAAGCTGCGGATTTCAAAACCGGTCCAGTTCCAGTCATACAGTGCCTGCGTACCTGCTGCAATAGAAGGGAGAGATACTTACCAGAGTTTCGGGAGTGCGCGGATAGCCCAAAGGTCTCTGCAGTGCTCCTTTCCTCTGCGGAATACTATCTTGCATCCGAGGCAGTTCCCAGTCTATATTTGATGTTAACATTTATGCTATCTCAAACACGAGGCTCTCCCATAGACATTTTTTCCGGGGTTTTCAAGCAAATTTCTCGGTGCCACAATGTTATGATGGAAGGATGCTGAAATGACAGGCCTCCTAGACGCTTGTCTTAATCATCGGCTTCTTAATTTAGTTTTAGTGCTGTGGTTTTGTGTGTGTGTGTGCGTGTGTGTGTCTGCGCGTGTGTGCGCGCAAGAGAAGCCTCTGACAACCTGCAGCTTCCTAATGACTGACGAGGCAGGGCTGCTGCAGCAAAGTAACACTTCCCTGGTGTGAAGACCTCTTACTGGGAAGTTTAGTTCACTACTGTTCTCGCAATCCTAATCGTATAACCTGTAACCAAACCCCATGGAAGAAGGATACAGCATGCTAAATAGACTAACTTCTAATCACGGAACGTTAGCACCACTACCAGCTGTTGAGGATTAACTGGGGGTTGGCTAGGGACGGACACCTAAACTTAAATCTACAAATGCGGCTAGAAGGGTGGACCGCTGAATACTTCTTCCTCTCCCTCTTTGCCTCCATCCATCCATCCATCCATCCATCCATCCATCCATCCATCCATCCACCTTCGGTCCCATTCACCCCTCTTCAAAACGTTTGACTACCTCTGTCTCTTTGTTAGCGCAGCGCTCCGTCCCCCTTCGCCATGCCTTAGCAGCAGGGTATCGGTGTCTGCTGAGCAGCCCTTACCTTAATTGCCCAGGTAACCTGGGATAAATAAGGCAGACTTAGAGTCAAGGGGGAATAGAATCATATATGCGGACATCCAGGCGTTTACTGTACCGAATGTGATATTACTGACTGTTAAACCGAAGTGTCCCGACTCGTTTCATGAAGCATGATGCCATCGAAGCGTGGTTATTAAATATCCTTTCTTCATGGCTGAAAAAACCCTCATTCATTTCTTAAGCTGTCAGTACGTTTTAGCAGCTTAACCCCTTGAAAGAGCCCGAGAGTAAAGAGCCGCTCTACCCGTGTGAAGGAGGATTGGAGGCTGGAGCTGGGGGGTGGCGGGGAGTACACTACGTCCATTGAGCTTACAGTGGAGAGGGTCTGTTTTTCCTTTGGCCTTTAATTTAAATAAATAAATAAATAAAAATCGGAGGGAGAAAAGTGTGCGGTTGAAACACTATCCCTACGAGTTATACCTAAGAACTGCACGGAGACCGCTGTTGAACGGCACTTCACCCAGGACGTTTCAGCTCAGCTATTCAGCCCCATCCTGACCCCGGGGCTGGACACTTCTCGGCCCACGGCCACCACTCAGCGCGGCGGGTCCGCAGCGCAGGCGAGCGCGCAGGTGAGGGAGCAGTCAGGCTCTACAGAGAGACGGGTCCCCTCTGCACACCCACCCGTGTTTTGCAGAGTTGGGGCCGTGCCCTTCCGTTCCACGCAGAAGCTTCTTCTCCAGACACCCTACAGAAACTTCTCCGTTAGGAAACGCCGCCACGAGGGACCTTCTCACAAGAACTCTGGTTTAGGCAGAGCTGAGGGGCCAAATCGGCCGCTCAGGCAGTGCCACGGCGCACAAAGCTACGGCTGAAGTGAACGGGAGTCGTGGCCAGGGCAGAGTTCAGGGAAGAGCTGGCGGTAGAGCAAGACTCCCGCATTTCCAAAGTAAGTATCTCCCGTTGTATAAACGGAGAATTTTCTGCGGAGTTAAAAAAAAAACAAAACAAAAAAAACACCAAAAAAACCCCAAACAAACCAACAACAACAAAAAAAACCCAACAGAGGGACTCGAAAGTTAAAGTCCAGCAGAAATAATAATTGACGTGGCTTCTCTTACATATCCTTTTCTGTCCTGTAAACAGCGAATTAATCTTCATGGGCTTAGAAAGATATGTACTACATATTGGACGCAACATTTCCTTTTTTGGTAGAACTGTATATCCACAGCATTAAAAAAAAATAATATAAATCCTAAGTTTGTGCACAGAGCTTTATTCTGCAGCCGTGACAAATGACTGAATGTTAAATCTAGATCATCAAACGTTTTAAAAGCGTGCTTCTTTGGGTGTTAGCCCTTTGCTCAGAAATGCAAAAAGATAAAATGTTTCTTTTCTTCCCTGCTACATTTTCATCCCCGATCACAACGCAAAGTAAACTCAGCTTTGACCTAAGAAACACCTCAACGCATTAAAATTTCAACAGGCGATGTCAGTGTTACATTAAACGAGAACTCCTCCAGTTCGCTGCAGAGCTGGGATTTGAATAAAACGTTCAATGTTAACAAACAATACACACGTTTGGCACTTTGTGTATTAAATGGATCAAAGAGATTTGATAAGGCACAATACACCATTTGTACAGACCTGATTGAGTTAATATAATATCAGCAAATTTTACAGCGAAATGAATCTGTTTCTTTTCTTTGTGTTTAAAACCAGCACAGATTACAAATTTTAATGATCTGAAAATGTTTGGTATACAAAATCATGCTTATTTCAGTATTAGCAAAAACACAAGAAATTTTTCAACACAAACACCCAGCTGTGTCTATTTTAAAAGCAGTTCAATGACAGCTTGCACTTATGAGCATGCAATCAGCTAATTTCGCTTTTTTTTTCTTCTGTGTTAATCAACACTTTCCTTCCTGCATATCAGAGTACAAATAGTATAGTTACTCCACATCAGTAAATGTTTACGTAACCTGTCCTTTCTCAAGAATCCGGTTACACCGAATCATTACATGCTAGACCGAGTAGGAAAACGCACTGGGCCCAGCCACCCTAATGGGATCCTAGTGCACCATAATGACACATATTAGTTAATGATCATCATAATCATAATAATATGCAGGAATCTTACCTTTCCTCTTACCCCTTGCCATGGTAGACTCAAGTCATATCCTCTACATCGCACTCTTCCTCGAGAACTCCCATACATTGACTTCAGTGTTGAGCAATGAAATAATTACAAATTGTCATGATTTTTTTAAACCGCATTTCTAAAAAAAAAAAAAAAAAAAAAAAAGTAAAAAATAAGCACGGTTGATCATTGACTTTTATCTCTTTTTTTGTCAGTAGCAACCTGTTATGAAATTGGATAAATAAATACAATTGTGGTAAGGTCATTCGAGGTTAATCCAATGCACAGAGTTCATGCCATTCCCAATTGCAATTGTTTATTACCGTTCCATTGTAATTGTTCTCGTTATTTACTCTCTCTTTCTCACACTCGCTCTCCCTCCCTCACACACACACACAAACATATAAAACGCACGTCTATACACCACCACGTTTGCTGCGCTGAGCTCTAACCCGAATTTCCCCGGGATAAACGGTTTTAGCTGGGGTTGAGCTGCACGCATTTTTTCTACGGCACAATTTTTCCTACAGCACAAAGGTAAACTTTAGGTAGCTGAACGCGGCGCTATACGTTGCCTTTGCCTATAGCTTCGGTTTGAATGCGATCAGCACGCTCTCTGTCCGCTACATTTCCCCTTCTACCTCCCGAGGAAGAAAGCTGCGCGATTTATTTCGCGTTGTTTCAGGGTTGATTCTTCTTCTTTTTTTTTTTTTTTTTCTTTCCTCTCCCCACCACGCTGACAGTAAGAAACGATGCGATGTGGACGATTAACAACCGATCGCTCGGCCCCGGGGAACGGTGGCCGTAAGCCCGAGGTCTTTAGCCCCGCACGTACCTAAGGGGCGTCGGGCAGACGGCGGCGGTACCGGAGGGTTCCGTCTGCCCCGGCGGCCCCGGGGCCGCTCCCCCCAGGCCGCCTCCCCTCCCCCAGCAACACTAAACCCCGCGGAACCGAAAGCCCCGGGCCGGTAAAAAATCGCCATATGTATTTCATGGCTTATTAATGTTATTATTTATTTTATTTATTATTTTTTTTTTCTTTTACACCTGACACGCGGCCTGCTCTTTTCTGGCTGAAACCACCCGGCAGCGCGAAGGAGGACAGAGAAAGGACCCCGGACGCCCCCCGCGCTGCTCCGGCGGCCCTACGGGGGACGGGGACGGGGACGAGCGAGCGGGGAGCGGCGGGGCAAGG